GGCGGATTTGACGTCCATGCAGTCTTACAGTAAAGCTCAACCCCTCTCGCACGACGTGCACGACTTGCCACGGTCCTATGAAGTGGTCATGGGCAAGTTTAGGATGGACGCCATCCCGGTAGAGTGTACTGGCGCTCTCCTTGACCAATACCTTGTCGCCCACCTTAGCCTTGGTGCCTGGTAATGCACGTTTGATCCTCGCGTTCTGGAGTTCGCGGTGTCTATTCCGATTTTCCTGTCTCACTTTTAGCACTTGCATCACTTCCACAGTCTTCCTTCTCGTTTCCTCCACCGTCCTTTCCAACGGCAATGCTGGGCCCGAGTTGTCTAGTGATGGCGACATGTGATCAAATGATGTCCTTGGCGTCCGTCCAAAGAGCAGGTGGTATGCTGACTCTTTGTTTGGAAGGCTCTCATCCGGCGTCGTACGATGGGCCCAAGCGACCACTGCCACATACTCATCCCACCTGTTCGGCCATGCCTGGCAGAGCTCCAACAGCATCTCTTGCAGCACCGCTCCCATCCTCTCGACTGTTCCCTTTCCTCTAGGATGGTTGGTCGGTCCAAAGTCGAGGGATATTTTGAGCCACCGGCACAGGTGTTCCATGATCGCCGAGGTATTTTCTGCCCCCGGATCACAGCGCACCGATATGGGTAGTCCGAAGGTGAGGATGAGCTCCAACAATTTCTTGCTGACTCCCAAAGTTTCCTTCGTGGGAAGCGGGTAAGTGAAGAGGAACTTGGTTGCTCGATCCACTATCACCAGCAAGTACCTGTTGCCCTTGTTCGATGTCAACTTCATGTCAAGTCATCTCCAAGACTTCCCATGGACGCAAGAATCGTGCCGGTAACATGCGAATTTGTTTTCTCCACTGTCGTTTTCTCATACGGCATCGACATGATAACACGTAGTCTCGCACATCTTTCTTCAGCGATGGTCAGTGGTACTTGTCCGCCACAATGATAGTGGTGCGAGCTATCCCCGAATGTCCAAAGGTGCCATGTGCCAGGGCCAGTACTGCAGACACCAGCTTGTGAGGTAGGGCTACAACATGTGCCTCCCCTCTCGGCGCAAACCAAAGTAGACCTTGATCGTCCAGGATGTAATCAGCTTGCTCTCCTTCGCCGTTCTCCAAATTGTCCCGGATAGGTTTCAACCTCAAGTCTTCCTGTTGGATCCTTTTTAGTTGTGGGCACCGTCGCGCAAGACACGCTCCATTTGTTCCAACTGTGCGGAATGCCCTCGACAGAGGGGAATGTCGTTGTCTGGCCGTTCCAACCGTGGTTGCGATGTTTCTGGGTCGGACCTCGATGGTGTTGTAGAAGAGCTCGCTGTCGACACTGATCGCCTCTCTGGTTGTTGCACCACGGTCTCCTTCTCTAAAGAGGTCGTTGGCTTCGCTATGGTGGATGGAGTGAGTGTTGGCTGTCGAGCTCGTCGAGCCGCACTCCGAGTCTCCGCCGGGGTCACCTTAAAACGTGTGCGGTCGACGTGACGGTCGACGGTAACTCCCCTAGTCACCACCGCCACCGCCGCATCTTCCTGATACAAGCTGGCCAAGTCGGTGAGCAGATCTTCGTCTACTTTTTTGTTGTGATCTGTCTCTCTGGTTTTTGTACCATCCATTAGACGCTTCGGCCTTCCTTGCAGTCGTAGGAGATTCAGAACTTCTCTCAGCATTGGCGCTAATGTGTGCTCTTGCATCACTCGAGCTCATCACATCTTCCCAGAGTTGGTGGTACCTCGTAGTTGTCCCGATTGGTGGTTAGCTTCACGTAATCTTCCCACGGTAGCTCTTGCGCTTCCTGCAACGACCCTGCGTCGTTGGGATGTGCCGTAAAAGCTGTTGGTAGGGGTTTACGGCCCATGATGTGTTCCCTTGTAACCGTCACCACCGGCTCCTCCAACGAGAATATCTCCTTGTTCTGGTGTCCCCGTGTTAAGAAGAAGCATCCCTGTCTTCTCAAAAAGGCACCGACCGTGGGTGCCGACGGTGCCGTTCTCTCCACATTCTTCTTCCACTGAGATAGTTTAGCTGTCAAATTGGGATCCCCGCTCTTCTTGACTGCTACCACAAACACTCTCCGTTTTGTTGTGGGTATCCCGACTGCTGTCGCTGACAGAGACACTGTCGCCGTTTCACAGCCTGCCAGGTGCAGTTCTGGGTGAAGGATGTTCTTCCATCTCTCTGACCCTGCAAAGCCTACTGGACTCTCCATTACCAGGATCTGGATGGGGGACGACACGAAAATCTGCACAATGTTGTCTGCATTTCGCCCTGTCCTCGATCCTTCGTCTTGACCATCCTCAACGGCGTACGCATTGCCAATGAGGATGTCGGGTTTATACTCGAGGGTTGTGTAGCGTGTGTCGGACTCTAAAGGCTGACGAAGCAATGTCGCATCACCGGCTCCTCCGTTGACTGTGATGCATTCCATGGTCTTCCAATCAGAGTCAATCACACATGTTACGTCCAGCATACCCTCAACGGCTTGTAATGCTCCACCTGCCCCTCGACCGAGAACAGCCGGCCTCGGCTGTCTTAGTGTAAAGAGATACGCCGCTACGTATCTAGGGGCAGAGAAGAGGAGAGAAGTGACTCACAACCGGAGTTAGTCATGCTCAACAAGGAAGACATCAAACTCGATGGAATCTGCTTAGCTGACCTGGGGCCAACAGAGAGAGGTCGATGACAGAAAAGTGGAGAATCTCAGTGTGTTCTATGCATTGCAGATCACACTTGATGCGTTGACACCGAGGGACGAGGAGTACGTAGCGGCGTATCAACAAGCACAAACCATCGTGAAATGGAATGATTCTCAGTATTTAGCGCCCGTTCATGCTACCGTGACATTAGAATGAGAGGAATACAGTTCGATGTTGTTGTTGTTGATACGTCCGCTTCTTGTGAACGTTAGACCGGCATTGTTGCGTATCCTCCGTTTGTGCGAGAGGCATAGTTCGCTGTTGTTGTGATACGTCCGCTTCTTGTGGAAGTTAGACCGGCATTGTTGCGTATCCTCCGTTTGTGCGAGAGGAATATAGTTCGCTGTTGTTGATACGTCCGCTTCTTGTGTACGTTAGACCGGCATTGTTGCGTATTTTCCGTTTGTACGGGAGAATATATTTCGCTGTTGTTGATACGCCCGCTTCTTGTGTGGACGTTAGACCGGCATTGTTGCGTATTATCCTCCGTTTGTGCGAGAGGAATACAGTTCGCTGTTGTTGATACGTCCGCTTCTTCTGGACGTTAGACCGGCATTGTTGCGTGTTTTTCCGTTCGTACGGGAGAATATACTTCCAAGACAACATGACGTCCGATGGTCGTCGCCTGGGTGTTCTCGCTTTTGGGGATCTTTCCATTCGCTTGCCTGTTGAGTACGTCTTTCGAGCCAGTAGTATCCGCCATGAAAGAAACCAGCGTTGCAGGCACTGCAGCGCTTGGACATGGGCAGAAGAAAGAATCAACTGTTGTTCAGGAGGCAAGTACGTTGTGGGGCCTTTGGTTCCTATCCCCGACGATATTGAACGTCTATACAGAACACCACAGCTAGATCCTGTTCCTCCTCGTCCTACCCCGCCGTCATCGGCATGGAATATTTTGGATGGAATTGGTGATGGGGCCTGTCTTCTGATTCGCAATTTCTAGGGAATGTCTTCTCAAAGGTAACCCAGCGAATCACGCACAATTTCGTCATGATATATATAACGTCTCCTAAAAACCGAAATTGCTTAATTAATTACTTGAGATTGTATGGATTAATTAAATTTGCCAGAGCAGTGGCAAGTGTGAGAGGATTTGTAGAAGAACTGTTCCTCCGTACACGATTTCGCTCATCATACAGAAGCCGGGCTGCACTGAATGACACCTGGCACCAGGCTATCCGTTGTTTTTTTGCTGTTGAGAAAGGAGTTTTTCACCACGAGTTGTATCGAAGAGTGGGCCGCGTGTGTGCCAGGGGACAGCCTTCTGACCGTGAGCTCACCCGCCTTGAGTTCTATTCCCCCACCTTTGGCAATTCTTGCACATGGCCAAAGAGCGTCGACTGCATTGCGCTTGCGCCCAGAATAATTGATCCTGCCTCCATATTATATATGTACTCCCCAAACCCCGAAACAAGTACTTAAATCAAACACCATAACAACCCCTACATTAATATCATCATTGTCCAACACATACAGCATAACCCAGGAACCTTTTATACAGACATATGAACGGATTCGGAAACGACCCAATTCGGATCCAAGGATCTCCCCGCCATCATTGTACTATTCTTTTCAGGACTACCTGTCCATCATGGCTCAACCCTCCGCATACGGTGGTTACATTGAAACTGCTGCTGCCTCACAATTGTACGGACTCACCATAGAGGTGGTCATCGCCGGCACCCCTTTCCCACCACCGCCTCATCCTCCTCAACAAAACAGTTCCCACGTACTTTTCCACCCTAATTCTTTGCACTTCTCTACTCTATCTCCAGTTTACACCGCTTGAATCTTTTATCCTGAGTACTGCTTGCCTTCCCCTTGCATCGCCCCCTGTGTTCAAGACCGACAGCGAAGCCACCTCCGAAGGGGGATCTTGTATGTTGTAGTACTTTTGTGAAGGGTTGGGTTCCTCGGCCAAGGGTACGCAGCCGCCTTTACGTTCTTCGGTCGAAGGCATAGACCATGTTTCTTATTATTTCCCTCTTATGCACGGTAAAACGCGTTTTATCCGATACTGAGTTCGTCTATGCGACCTTCGTTAGATACCTCGCTGGTCTATCGAGGATAAGACTACATGTATGCAAGTGTAAAAAAGCGAAGATACCCGCGTGCACCTCAGGATACATTGGGTAGGTCGTTTTATGGCGACCTGAAAACTACTTTCGTCGATGTAGTGCCGTCTTGTAGCGGGCTCCCGACACCGCATTTTACTCCCCACATTAATGCTGTCGTTTCCAACACAGATTCCCGCACAGGCGCCCCCCTGACTGTCCGAGCTGTGTTTGGGACTATGTCCGTCCCCAATCTTCTCGACGCCACTGCCACGCGAGAATCCCTGGAATACTTTCTCAACGCCGGCTTCGACGAGGTCGACACGTCCATCCTCTACGAGAAAGCGGGGACGGAAGCAACTCTAGGTGTGAATGTACTCAGGTTTAGCCATTTGCCAAATTCTGCTTGATGCTTGGCGTGCATATGCATGTGCGTTGTCGTTGGCCGTCGACCGTGCATCATGGGGCACAAGGAGTCTCTCTCTCTCATCTCCTCGTAGAGACAGCTTCCTCCACACCGGTTGGGTGGTCGTACTTCAAGCCTGTGCCTGTTTGCAATATGGTGGGTTTGGATTGGGCGCCCTTCGTCTGTGATGCCACTCACGATGCTGTCCAACACGGATGCGCCCAGCCAGATGTTCACCGAACATGAAGGACTCATTTTCGCATCGTGTTCCTCGTCGCCGGCAGGCAAGATCGGTATGTCCCGGTTCAAGGTCGCGGCGAAGGCCAACCCCTGGCGGAAGGAGGACGGCAGCCATGACTTCTCCTCGTCCACCTACGGCCTCAGGCCCGGGCTGGTCAAGGAGCAACTCCGCCGGTCCATCCGAGCGCTGGGGTGAGTTTGGACTAGACTCGGCCGGCTGAGCTTACAATCGAGTGTTTTCTCCCCCGATTGTATACAGTCGTGCAGCACTCATGTCTGTGCCGATCGATACATTGCCGGGGCACGGATGGGACGATCTGATGCGACAGCAAAACTTGTGTCCTCTCCCCCGCCGGGGCTAACGGGAAGGGCACGTTGTGGTTGTGAGGTACTGTTCGAAGTGCGCTGCTTGGTCCTCATTCCTCATACATACCCGTTCGCCATCGCTATCCTTTCTCCACCCGCGCCCGCCGGTCTCCTCTCCCGCACCCGTCGTGGGTCATGCATGCCATGCCCTCCCAAACGCCAAGGGTGCCGTCGGTGGAGCTTTTTTACCTTCACGCCCCGGACCACAACACGCCCATCGAAGCGACTCTGATGGCTGTGCACGAGCTTGGGGAAGAAGGTCTGTTCCATGAGTGGGGCCTGTCCAACTACGCCGCCGGTGACGTGTTGGACATCTGGCGCATCTGCAAGTAAGTGACAGAAGGCACCCCTCGCCCCTCGAGAATTGGGGATACCCAGGCGGGCGTCATAGGACGACCGCCTGCCCACCCCGGGACCTGAAAGGGTGTTCGATATGCAGTATGTTGTGGGAAGGTTTACCATGATAATGTTGATGCTTTTTCTCTGAGGTGAACAGTGCCGGGCTTCGGAATGAAAGTACTCGAGTAGATATGCAGAGGCGCCCAGTATCCAAGCCCCTTCGTCGTGGCTTCCAAAAACTCAGGAGCCAGCCCTGGACCGCCAGTTTGATGATTCTTCGCTTATTGTCAGCGGCATCACGCAGCAACTCGCCGGTACAGAGGCGTGTTTTTCGCTTCCCGCCCCTTCTTGTAGTGCATGCTTGAGGAAACAAGTATATGCCGGGGAAAGAGAGTCGGAGTCTGGCTTACCTTGTTCAGTAAAACCTCCGTTATGCTCCGCTCAACTATGCTCCGCTATGTGATTTTGAAAGGGGCTTCAACCCCGACCTCTTGCTAGAAAAACATGAAACGCAATTCGATTTTCGGGGGGGGGGCTTTTGCTTATGCCATCGTGTGCACCCAAATTTGGAGTTCTCCAAGCGGACCACGGCTTTTTCAACGATAGCGGAATGTATGATACAAAGCGGGCCAGAACTCTCGGCACGTACCAAACTTAAAAAAATGTCATGAATTTGATTTATCCCCGTCTCTCCAACGCCGCCCGGGCTACCAACCCCCTTACTGCGTGTGCGGATGAAAAGGGTGAACGGGTGGCGAACGCCTTCCGTGTATCAGGGAATGTACAACGCCGTCACGAGGGACGTGGAGCGGGAGCTGCTGCCAGTCCTCAAGAAGCTCCGGATGCGTTTTTACGCGTACAACCCCCTCGTGAGATCATGGTTCTAGAGCACATTTTGCCGCAGACGGCTACGACGCGATCTGCTGCCTGTCCTCAACAAGCTCAGGATGCGGTTTTGCACGTGCAACGCCCTCGCGAGACTCCGTTGTCATGCATAGTATTGCTGTGCTTCGAGCATGTTTCACCTTGAGAAGGCACGATACGCACCGGCTTAATCTTCTCGCCTGCTTGCTTGGGCGAGTCGGTAGAGCTGTTCTCACCAACGTAGGCACAATAAATCCCAGCCACCCTAGTTGGCTGCCCGTTTCCTTGTGTCCACCCGATTTATCTCACTCACGACCAGACGTCCGCTCCCTTCCTCAGGCTGGCGGTCTGCTAACGGGAAAGCACAAGTTTGAGGAGTCCTCCAAAACGGGTCGCTTCGGCACCAGCACCGCCTGGGGGGCGATGTACAGGTACCCTCCCTCTATTTTGTCATACTCACCCTGGGCGGGAGCCAAGTGTAGGGCGTGGAGATCGTGTTGACCCCACCTCCGGTTGGTCATGCTTCTTCGGCTAGATCGCAAAGAACCAAGAAATTAGAGACGAAAATCCCAGACACCTAGATTGGGTGCTACAAAGAAGTAGCAATAGCCGTCATATCACGAAACCGTGATACGCCAACGGCGTGTTCGAGCGTACACGCAACGATCCAACGATTGATTCGCGGTAACCTTGGTGTCTTTTCTTCATCTCCAGCTGCGGTACTTACGGAAAGTTCGCCGATTTCCAACACACCCTGACAGTCACGTGCGCGTTCTTTCACGATCAATGCGCGTCCCCAACAATATGCAATAATCACCAGTTGGCTACGGGTTTGCTCAACCAAGATGCTGACGTCTGCCCTATGTAAGCAGGAGCCGGTATTGGCACAAGTCCTTGTTCGATCAAATCGACCAGCTTAAGGTTCTCTGCGACAAGCACAGGACCGACCTTGTGTCGGCTTCTTTCCGGTGGATGCGTCACCATTCGAGCCTCAGCGGTAAGATCCTTGCCGTCGTTCTCAATGCTGTCAATGATATCAGCGTTACTGTTGTTGTTGTCGTCGGTAGGAGAAAACCACCTCGATCTGCACCAACCACACCTACGGCTAAATGCACCGTGCCAGCCTGCAGCAAGAAGCATTTCTCGAATAGTCCATCTTGTATGTTTCCGGCAGAATTTTTTCACTATATTTTATGTTTGTTGGCGTTTGCGGCGCTGCCATCAAGTTATTTCAACGGTTCAAATTTCGAAAGACCGAGAGCGACTTATTTCTTCCAGCTTCTCCTCAATACACGGCAGAGACTATGTATCGTTTTAATTCATGAACCGCCGTGTTGTTTTTTTGCAGGGGATCTTGGAGATGCCGTGATCATCTGTGGATCTTCGGTGGCGCAAGTGAAGAGCAACATCGACGCCTGCAGCGATGAGAAACCTCTCCCGAAGGTGAGGTTGGACTGGCGGTGACGATGCGCACACTTGCTTGATTCTTGCTTTCGCTACTGCAGCTCCAGGTGAGAATCGAAAAAATGGCGTCTGTCGCCGTATCACGCGCAGTGTCGATATTCCACGGCACCTTATCTCCACGCAAATGGATCCTTCATCTCCCCTCTCTCATGGAGGGTTAGAGGTAATGGACTGGTAGAAGGGCAAGCCAGGAAAACGATATGCAGCACCCGTATTGCACTTACCACTGCAGTAGTAGCTTTTCGTGTCAGAAGCCGCCAGGCCAGGCCCTTCAAGCAGAAGAAAGCGATAGTTCTGGCGGCATCGGCGTGCTCGAAAATCCCCCCGTCGAATCTAGACTAACTGACATTCCGACGAACCCGTTCGTGCATGTGCCGGTGTCCTTTCTACTTGTTCATGGATGGCCTAAACCGCCCGCCGCAGGAGCTTGTTGACGGCTTTGAAGCGGCATGGCAATCGGCCAAGCTGCACTGCCCACCGTATGTTCTCAAAGTTGGAGGCACCGCCGAGGGACGGCAAGTGCAGAGCACAGGGTGAAGGATCTGTGCAAAACGCTACCAGCGATATTCGAGGGTAATCTGAGGGAACTCCTTCTCTCCATTGAAGTAGCCAACACGCCGGTTGGGTTGTGATAAAATTCGATGTTACCACCGTAGGTGTTTGTTTGCGAATGGGTTGGGCTATGAAATTTTTACAGTAGGCCAAGCCGGACTAATGGTAGCCGGTACATGATTCCAAGTACATACTGTGTGCAAACGCGATGGATCCTTTGGTCTGAAAGGGAATACCTTTGGAGACCGTACTCACCAGGCGGGTCAGTATTGAGCACCAGCAGTGCATCTTGGCGTGGCGGCGTTAACTCAGACTTGCGTGTTTGAAAGAATGCATATTCGTATGCGCTCAGCAGTCGAATTTGGAAAGTACATTAGTTCAATTGTTGAAGCTGTATTCTGCGGTTTGTCGTACGTCAGTGCAAGTAATCACTTGTGCGTGCAAGTACAATACTTGATGTGCATACGTGGCACAAGTTCGAGAGCATGGTGTTGAAGTCATCTTTCCAGAAACGTATCGTAGCTTACCAGCACCGTATTCTGAACACGTGTGATTGGTCGACGTTGTCGGATAGGTGTGATTCCATGATTTCGAGGATGAGCGCGTACTCGCCCCATCCTCTCACTCTGCTTCTTTGGGGGTTCTCCAACCCTCTGCCTATTTGGGGTTTCTCAACCTCTTTACTTCTCCGGGGTTCACTACCCCTCGGTTTCTCTTCATTCTTTCTGGTCTCCACTGATCAAGTAACTGCATTTCCACCAAACCATCTTCTCTTCTCCTTCGGACCTTCCTGCGTACTCAGAGCCAAGCCTCTCGTACTAAAGGGTCCAGCGGCACAACAAGTGAGTTGGCACGCCGCGCTGCAGCCGTACAGGACACGTACAGGCTTACACGCAGCACTCGAGTTTTGCCTTTGACCTGTGACTATAAGATTGCACAATCGGGTGCTCTGCTTATGTACATCAGTGGTCATTGCTGCATACGCACGTTCTACTTGCGCGACACACTGCGGAGAGAGCACGCACCAACTCAAGAGTAAATTAGGGCTACCCTTTTTGACGACAACCAACAACACCTCTTCGAGAGCCGATACGGGTCGTCAACACCCACAAGCCTACATCCCCAAGACAAGCAATGTAGAGACGTGCGTATTTTTGCAGTACTCAAGATAACATAGTACAGTGCCGGCCCACTCGTAAGAAACACCTATTTCAGCTGAGGCTCAAATTTTATTGCCGCAGCCATCGTGAGCTGAATTTCTTATGTCGGCAGTTCTTATTTTTCCCCGACGAGAATTGCACGATTTCTTATTTTCGCCATTTCCTATCTTTTCTTCACCGTACAAATTGCACAATTTCTTGTCATCCCTATTTCCTTTTCCAGTCACGAATCTTTGCACTACCTGCGGGGTACATGCTTGCACGACACCCGGCGGTACTGAACTGAAGAAAAAAGAAGAAGCGCAAAGTCATTGTGCTAATGTACGTGCGGACAAAGTACTCCGTATATCCCTAACGTCATTCGAAATCGATTGGTGAAGTTGTCACAACTTGGCATGCTCTATCCCGGTTGGTCGATGTTGCGAACGTTGGGGGTTCGCGCCCTACTGCCCTGCCGGCGTGGCTGTTCACCCTCACACCCCCCCCGCCGGCTCATTCGAATCGTCGATCGCCTCGATCAACGCCCACGCTCCTACGGCTGCGTTCGCTTCGTCTACATCGTAAGCATCTAGAGGCATCTTCACACTGATGGTGCTTTGATCGTACGCCAAACCCACGCGGTACTCGTACGTGTGACTAGTTTGCGGGGGCGCTGCCCGGCTGATCTGCCCCAAGAACCACCCCATACCACGCCTCAAGAACACGCAAAGCCTAATCAATGCGCGATCCAGCTTTTCTGGAGGAGACTCTTGAAGACGGAATCCGACCGGAAGCTCCATCGCGATGATGTCATCGTCGGAGTCGACGTCATCGTCGCTATCTAGCTGTGATAGGGGGTCTTGAACATCGCCGTGGTCATCATCTAGCAAATGAAGCGATGTGAACAAAATTGTCGAGAAAAAGCCGGCGTGAGACACGCGCGTTTGAACAAATTCACAGCCTCCCACCAGTGCAACGCAAAACGAGGGGAAAAGGCTAAGTACAAACCGGACCTAGACTCGAAAACTTACCATCATCATCTGCGCTTGCGTCGCTGTCGCAGCTCGATTCGCCACCGCCCGCCCCCCCATCGTCGTCGCCGACCTCATCATCCTGGTCGGGCATCTCCTCGTCACTGCTCGTGCCCCGTCCATGAAGTTATACGCCCCCACTACACCCTCCGGAGTGATGCGGTCGTCCAACGAACCGTCTGCCGTCATAGCCAGTCCGGTCTTCTCGAACACGCGATGGCGGTACCCAGGCCGAGCGTCGATTCGCGCGACCGCCCTTGCAGTGAATCGCGTGAAAAGGATTCGCCGTGCACCAGCTGAAAGCTTGTTGGTCTCCCACAGGCAAAGGTTTTCCTCGTGCCCAAGAAATTCATCCAGCTCGTTACCGACTTCGACTTTGAGGAGGCGTCCATAGCCGGCATCGACCGGTTGGAGTTCGGTCAACTTGGGGGGAAGTAGCCGCAGCAGCGTGTTGCACTCGCCGTGAAGAAATTTCTTGAACTCGTCTGTTGTCTGTGCGTGCAGGTTGTCCGCGAAAAGGATGGACTTCTTCTCTGGAACGACACCTTACTCCCCCTTGATTGTGCGTAGGAAGCTGTTTTTTGCCCATTTCATGCACGTTGGGCCGTCCATCCACGCGTTCTCCTGGAAGAGCACGTCCACGCCGGGGTCGTATGCCGCCTTCTCCACCGCCGAGACTTTGCCTTTGCCGCGGAAAATGACCGCGGTCCGCATCAACTTGTCGCCAGCTCCCATGCAACAGTTGACGGTGCACTGTCGCTTCTCAAGACCAGGGAACGGCTGCCCAATTTGCACTCGCAAAGCTCCCGTCTCGTCCCATGTCGAGTCGAGGCCGTTGACGAATGCGAGCCCAACCTGGTCGACGTTGAAACGCGCATTCAGGCTGAAGCGCCCGTAGAGGGGCGGTTCCACAGGAACGATCGCAGCGCCGTTGTTCTCGGCGGCGCCCCCAGCAGCGGCCCGGCGAACGGGTGTTTCCTGCAGCAGCTGGCGCAGCCTCCTGTGGAACTCTTCATCTGCGGAAGACGGTCTTCTACCGACTTGTTCTTCATGTTTGTGCGCCTTCGTTTCGAGAGATGGAGGCGCTTCACGAACTTCCTGCACCACCGGTCCGACGCTGAAAAATTCTTTGCACGCGGGTCGTCCGGATACGTTTCCACCACGACCTTTCTCGCGTTGACTCGAATCCAGGCTGTCGACACTCTGAGCTTCCTCTTGCGCCGTTGCAGCAGCAGCGAGTGCAGCTTCTTCTCTGCGTCTCCGAACCACCTCCTCTCCCTGCCAGTCTTGAAAAGGTCTTTCTTCAAGTCATTGGCCGCGGCTGCGATCAGCTTCTCTGCGTCACCGTTCCACTTGCAGATGTTGGGTTGGGGAGTGCCGGTCTTCCTTGCCAGGAACTGCTGACACGACACGCCGTGAACATGCCAGGTCTTTTCGGCGTGATCGGCCTACAGCTCTCGCCGCTCCGCGACCAGCGCAGCATTCTTCCTGTTGCTGTACTGCGTCCTCTTCTCAGCCCCTCGTGTTTTCTTCCCCTTGGTGCGTTCTTCGTCCGACAAAAGGCCGTCATCTGGCAAGTCTGATGTACCATCGCCTTGGGTCCTTGGCTGCAGCTCAAACGAACAGCTCCCTCGCACGTGGTACATTTTCTGGCCCGCCGCAGTGGTGTGCCCGCCTCCCTCTGAATGGTGAAATACGACATTAAAACACCTGCCCGAATACCCGTGCCATAGTGGAGTCGTCATGGTCCCACCCGTCGCGAGGGCTCGCCTGAGCCCTCGTCCAAGATGCCGAAGAGGAGCTGGGTGCAAGGCACCACAGTGTAGCGATCGACCTTGTTCGGGGGCAAAGGTCTTCGGGCAGTACAGGCACTTCAACTTGGGAGGAGGTGGTGCGATGGGATAGTGGACGCGGGTGACTTCCTCCACGATGCCATTGCGGGTACGCTTGATCCGCGAGAAAATAGCAGCAAAGCGAGGCCCGGGGTACGGGTATTTTAGAGTGCAGCAAAAAATGTTTGTCAACTGTCCCTCCAAGTAATTTACAACAGACATTTTCAACGGCAGCGGCACGTGATTGGCACACTTCGGCAACAACAGCAAGTGTCGCTGAAAAGAAAAGTTGAAAAAATCACGAGAGCGAAACAACGGGCAGTGCCAGGATTCAAAACCGCGCCCTCGAACTCGATGGTGAACCAAAATAATCCCCCGCAAAACATCTCTTGTTTTGGTTTCTCTGCCGGCCAGATTGGCACACTTCGACACCAGCTGCAAGTGTTGCAGAAAAACAAAGTTGACATAAAACACGAGAGTAAAAAAAAAGGGCACTGCCAGGATTCGAAATACCGTCCGCAAACTCGATGGTGAACCAAAAGAATCCTCCGCAGAATATTTTCGTGCTTTATTTTCTCTGCCGGCCAACGATGCGGGCGAGGGAGACGAAACAGGTGATGCACCGGACAAACACATTTCATTCACGAACATGGCCCAAGGATGCAAACGGAACCTTCGACCAACTCACCGGCTTGTGCGTTGCTGCGGCCCAGCAGTTGACGATGTTCCCGTGCATCGTGTTCGCCGCCGCGCTCGCTTCCTTGGCCGTGCGCTTGCCCTTTTTCTGTGCGGGCCTAGGAGTCTCCACCACCTGCGACCCACCAACCCCTGCTTCTCCGCCCGCCGCTGCCGACCGTGGTGCTCCATCTCGCAAAAGGTCTTCAACTTTTGCATCTAGCTGCTCTCGGTACTCGGTAGTCTTCCGCCGTAAACATGCCGCTGGATAGCAAGTTGGCCATGCGCTCCACATGCGACCAGAACTTGTCATCGATGGGCTTGTTGGCCATCACGTGCTTCTTGATGGAATCTTTGTGGCTGCTCTCCTTGATGTAGCCGGCATCAACAAACTTCGACAAACTCTCGAGGTTGCCGATGGATGCGTCTGAAAGCGGTATTGCCTTCCATGTCAGGACGGCTCTCTCGAAGCTAGTCAAGGATGTCGGATACGAAGGGTTCGAGGACGACACCACCGAAGTGTGCCTTAAGGAGGCAGGCGAATCTGATGAAGCCAAGGTTGGCATTGCCGCGGTGCAACAGCTCGTTGCTGGTTCTACCAAGAAGAACAGGAACACCACCGTGGCAGGGATGCTCAAGCCTTGGCTGCTGAAATATATGGGCCTGAAGCTGCAAACACGCCAAAGCGGGAAGCACAACGAACGCAGCATGTACAGGTGGAAACCCTGCCCGGTCATTCAAGAGTTTTCGCTCAGGGGGAACACCGTGTATGGCCGCGTAATTGGACGCAAGCGGGACGCTAAACCTACACCGTCCAAGCCCACCGAGCCTATCGTGCAAGCGGGAGCGGGGGGTGGATCGGGAGCGGGGGGTGAAGCGGGAGCGGGGGCTGGAGCAGGAGCGGGGGCTGGAGCTGGAGCGGGGGCTGGAGCGGGAGCGGGAGGTGGATCGGAAGCAGGGGCTGGAGCGGGAGCGGGGGGTGGAGCGGGAGCAAGAGGTCGAGCGGGAGCAAGGGGTTGAGCGGGAGCGAGCGTGGGGGCGGAGCCGCAGGCGCTGGACATTCGCCAGTTCGTCTCTGTGAAGCGCAGGGCTTCTTGCTCTCAGGAGATGGAACGGAGGGTGCCACCCCACCCTGGGGGAGAAACAGACATATTCGAGACGCTGAACAAGATGGGCTTCAAAAATATGGGGATTGCGGGGGAGAGACTGGACCTGAAGAACATGCCAGACGAGACAAAAACAGATGCGCGACAAGACCATCACTTCGATACGGACTGCCAAGCTTGTGCGGATGTCGAGGGCCGCGGATTCACTGCAAGAGTTTAGCTGCTACGTGAAGAGCGTTTGGGGGTACAAGTTGAATAAGGTCAGGAGAGGGGGGGAGAAATGAAGGGTATACTCGTAGACACGGTACCAGAAAAACTCCTCTGCAATGAGATGTATTCGGCGAATTGGTTGGAGGGGCACTGCAAAGCCGTGGACAAGTTTATCGGGCATGGCCACGACGAGAGGAAGCTCATCAAGTCCTTGCCGCCGATGATGGAAATGGATCTAGAGCTCCTGCGGGCTGCGTCGGTCGCGAGCAGCCGTAAGCGGAAGAGGAGTGGGGATTGAATGCATGTCGATGGGGCAGGCGTGGGATTCGTTGGCTGTAGGTGCGGATTTTTTTTTCGGGTAGCCAGTAGAAAGTACTTTTTCACTACAAAATGGAAAGAAGAACCATGGGTTCGTGGGGCATTGTACTGCAACTCCCAAAGACAGTGGGAGACGCCCCCCCGGCCCCCTGTGAGCAGCGAGAAAAACTCCCCAAATCCCAGGGGGGGGGGGAAAAGGAGTGCAGCAAGGGCCTGATCGTCTTCGTGTCCCCCCCCCACGTGATCGCATGGAGAGTCCTTCAAAATTGTCGCCATAAAGCTGAAATCTCCCCATAACCTCCCGTCCGATGTGCCATCACCCCAGAAAAATCGCTCCACCCCACCCCCCCCATTATTGCCCACCCCAAGTTCTTGTGCGCTGTGTGATTGTAAACCGTTGATTTTGGCACGCCTTTGTGCCCCACGTTGGACCATTGTCCAGCGAGAATGATCGAATTATACACATTCGCCTTTGGTGCATGGAAAAACGATCATTCTTGCCCCCAAAAGTATGCTCAGATGCTTCAAAAACAAATTTGGCGGCCGATGGAAAGGAAACGAAAAAACTTGCCGCCCACGCGTTCTCAAACCGCCGTGATGTGCCCCTCTTTTTCCCACGGCCGCATCCCCCCATAAACACGAAATCACAAGGGAACTAGATGGGCGGCCACAAAACATCAGAAAGGTGAACAGCACCTAATAAACCATCTAAAGGTACGTCTGGCCCGGCCTTTGCTGCACCAACTACGACGGGCAGCACACGCAGACCGTGCCCTTTTTTCCTGCGCAGCTATTCGATTCGTCCAGCTTCGGCGGCCGCTGAACTGAGTCAGCGTTTGCCGTACCAGCCGAATCGGAGGCCTTCTTCGTTTTCTTCCCTGTAAAACAACAGGCATTCAATCGGAGAGTCAGGTACTCCACGTGTCAACTGCATTACATTCCAAAAGCGCAAATGCGAGGCTAAGCTCCTCAACTCGCCTCTGGTCTCTTCAAGAGCAGTAACTCTTGCGTCCAGATGGCCCGTCTCGCTGCCTATTTCTTCTACGTGAGCCTGGATGCCCATAACCTCAGCGCGGGTGAAAGTTTGCTGATCTGGAGCACGTGCTGCAAATTCGTGGCGGGGAACGGCGACGGAAGAGAAGGCCATGGAGGGGTCGCGGAGAACAACTAAAATACCGAAAGAGAACAAGAGAGGGAAGGGGGAGGAAGGACATCCACCGCCAGCGGAGTCGTTCAAGCTCACGCCGCTACAAGGAGAGGCACGAAGGAGGTAGCGATGCCACAAATGGCTAGTCATGAAACCAAAATCCTCATCCTTTGTAACGGCAAAAAGTCATCAAGTGCAAGGACTTGAGGCCCGCAAGAATCGAGGTAGGACTGCTCAACACGGCGTAAGTACCGAGAAGACATGAGGTCGAGCGCTAGATAAACAAAGATCCTTGCAGATGAGAAGTAAGACCAGGACAGTCCGTCAATGCTAGTCTGGATCAAGGCGCACCCGGGTTCTCCATCCTCTCATTGAATTCCTCTTGGGTCTCCGTCTGTTGCTCCTGAGCAAAAATAATCCCTCCTCCTACAGTGGTCGTCGAAAATCGGGAAAAGGTCAACATGAGCAGTCTGGTGACGGTTGCACCGAGCTTGGCTCTTATTGGATTGGGTGGGGATGAGCAATAAGAGAAATGACGGCGGGAGCATCGGGGACGGAGCTGAATAACCAGGAAAATATGTCCAGCGCTGAGATCAGAACGGGGAGCGAATAACGCGGAACAAGCTGAACTAGATGACGATAACACATCACTGGCGAATTGTAGCCCACGCTGATGGAGGAACATCGACTTGGATTGCTATATCTGGCAAGGCAATGTTGTAAAGAAGGGTAAAGATAGAACGAGGCTCTCAGTCTATACTCTACTCGTTATGCTTATGCTTGATTTCTGGTGATGGATGGTGGAACAGCAGCAGCAACCACACTCACCGGCATCCCTCGCGCCGCCCGGGCCGGCCTGAGACTTTGGGAGGTGCTTCTCCACCTGGGGCATAAGAACACGTGTACAACACATAGGTGATCATATAGGTGATCCGCGAAACCGAAGATGCAACTAGGTAAGCTGTGCTTGTTAAGTCGACGGGCTCGTCGGATCACACGATGGATGGTAGGAGCCGGAGAAGCTCACCGCACCAAGCAAGCAGAGTTCGATCAACTGGTACGTCTCGCGACGCAACATGTGGTCACTCCTACCGTTTCCCGGAGCATCTTGTTCTCGAGCTTCCCTGTCTCGATTTCTGCCCGCTGCTTTTCGATTTCTGCCTGCTGAGCTTCCAAAGCTGCCATCACTGTGGCGAGCTGCGCGGCTTGGTCGAGGCCGGCGTCGTGGGCCGGTGCCAAGACAGTAGGTCGCATACGGGGATGCTCTCCTGCACTCGAGATGGTAGTCGGATGGATGTTGGCCTCGGGAAGAATAACCTGCACCAGCGCATCAACCTGGATCAAGGTAAAAGCAAAGTCGCACGTGAGACGCACACACGAGCTACGGAACTTGAAATGCCGTGCTGTCAACATGCTTGACACAGTTCGGGCCACCGCAGTGGCGCATTCACGGAGGTCGGTGTGGAAGTTATCGATCGTCATCACAGCGGAAAGTCGCCTTCGTGATGCTCCTCAAAGCATTAGGAATGTGTCGCAGATTCGCAGCCCAAGCGGACGGCGAAACACGGGAGACATCACCACGAAGATTTGCGTCTCACCTTTTCCCTCGGGTTATTCGTACCCTCCAGGCAACCCCGACCTACCGCTGTCAGAAGCATGCGCAGGTGTCGTCTGCCAAGTCGCTTCCCAGCCTAAAACATGGGGCGCACATGAATACCAAGCCAGAGTAGGGTTGTCGGGTTGTCGGAGTCGGAACAGAGTGTTCAATGAATCGAAACAAGGATGCAGCGCCGGATCTCAATTCGTGTCAACTTGGCGTACACACCTTCAATTCACGGGTTTCTGTCGTTGTTCCGCAATTGCCAGGCTCGTAGTGCTCCGATATCCAGTCGACGAACCAGTCCATGGCAGCCTCCTCGCTCCCGCCGTCAGTTAACGCGCCAGAACACTGGCTTGACTTGGATTCGCCTGAGACACGACAAACACCATCAAAACCGTTCGTGCTCGTAACCTGGAACCTTGCAGCAACATCTCCCTCAGCCATGGGCGATTTCCGAATGGAAGTCGCTGAAGTAAAACATGCAGGAGGTGTATTTGGATCGCTATCGATCAACAATAGCCCATCATTAGTTGAGACATTGATTCAGAATCTGGCTACCTTCCCAAATCCCATACGCGGAGAAATCGTCGGTGGAGTCAAAGGATATTCACCTACTAGTGGACCCATGTCAAAAATAATCAATGCCATGATCGGAGACCTAATCGCCTCTACCACTGCAGGTGGTGTTATAGGTGAAGTGTATCGGACCAATACCACCCAATCTGTGGACACCCTAATAAACTCAATGACCGGTAACATCTCCACCACGGAATCAGGGTTGCATTTTACAGGAGGTGTTGTTGGGGAGTTTAGGCTTTGTGGATCATTTACCGTGAGCCACCTAATGATCTATATGACCGGTGATATAGTGTCATTGTCAAATTTCAACGATACAAGGGACGGGGGTATAGTGGGATCCGGCTCCAGTTCACTTACAAATGCCAGTTCAATTAATGCAATGAATGGATCGGTGAACAGCCCAATCGTAGGTTTATCCGTTAGTGTTTCTAGTGCAACGACAAATACCAATTTTGGTCTGACATTCGAGAATGACGATCATGGCACATCAATCCCCCCATCCGGACTGTTAACGAACAGTGATTTCCCCGATCTACCATATGCGTCTCTAGATTCAACAGACAGTGCTGGGAACCCAGTAGAATTCGATTTCGTCTTCGCCAATCTTTCCGGGAATAGCACATACTCTGCCCACGCACACACGCCGTGCTACACAAGGGTGATGTCTCGTCACCCTTTGGTGTTGATTGTGACATTTCCGAAAGCAATACTTACCGTATACACAACACTAATCAACAGAGAAACAAGAACGGTAACACAACCGGCATTAACTGTCCTTGACATTGTAGTTATTGTACCTCCTCTCACGATTGAAACGAGATCAATTAATATCCCCGTCGCGATTACTGAGGTCCCAGACGCCACGTGGCCGCCAACTACGACAAACAGGACTTTGAAGATGGCGGGTTCTACAATCTACTCTCTTTGGCCAGCAACTCTCTGTCTGCCCTGGCCCAAGTTTGGGACGGTGTGTTTGGAACAGGAGACGTTGTCGGTGTTCCCCTGTCGACAAACTCCGAGTTTAAGGGGTCTTTCATCAACCTGGGGGATACTCTTAGCATCAAGGAAATTGGCGGAGTTGTGCTTCCCTTCGAGACCGCGACGGGGGTAGGTCAGGACGTTCAGGTCACCCTGAGCGACGACGCCACCACCGTCCCCATCGCGTACGATGAGACAAACAAGACCATCACCGTCGACGGTGTCGTTTACTACCCTGGCGACAGGTTTGTCCTTGACGGCAAGAAGGTTAGCGTGCTGGATGTTTGATTCATGTTCCGTTCATTGAGTCTACGCTTGGAGGGCCACGAAATCCCCGTTTCCTACCCGCGCTCATTGCAGCTCGGTAGAGTGGCTGTCTTCGAGCGAGTATCCCCCCTCACCGTAGAACATGAATATTTCTGCCCCCTTTTCAATTGTTTTGGTGGTCTTGAGCCACAAGCCTGGTATCCCATCCCCTACCGGCCTGTAGCTCACCTTGCAGTTGTGCCTGATCAGAGGCGCGACTGTGCCATCGGGTTTGAAAATACCGTTGGCCAAGGAAGCTATACCCCTTACACGCGCACAGTCGACCACGGCGTTACCCGGTACGGGTAACTGGGTGGCGTACGATGCAGTCATCCTCCCCGGGTACCGTTTCTGTATGCGTTGCGCTGTCACGACCTCTCCGACATATGGACACACCCACGCGTTTTTTTGCAGGGTTCTTGTCGCAAACAACCCATTCCCGGCGTTCTCGATCGTCGAGGGTTTCCTCTGAACTCCGTACTTGATAGAATTGTGCTTCCAGCATAACGGGTAGCCTATGCAAACCCTGTTCTTGCACTTAACGCCGTTTTCTTTCACGTAATTGCATCGTCCACGAACGAGGGGGCTCGACCAGTTCTCGGCTCGAAAATGCAGTCTGGACATTGTACTGGTCTTCAATTAAAATGTACAACAAAAAAAATGCTCACGCAGAACGCCGGAGATCAAGGACAAATCCAACGCGGCCTTGTCATGGTACCTCTACACAGATCCGGGGCATCGCCTCGGCGGTTGGAGATGCTGTTCCCCTAGCAGAGACTCGACGGCAAAGAAATGTTCCTGTTGACTACGCTCCATCCCGACGCCTTCTATTGAGGTACACATCCTCAACCCGTTTGTGCGCAGAGCAGAACTCGCGCCGTGTCCCACCCTCCCTGCCAAATGACGAAACCTTGGTGTAGCCGGGGTGGATGCATTTCTTGGACACCACCTCCACAATTCCCTCGAGCTTGTGCTGGGAGCAGAACTCCGCTTTCTTGCTGCCCTCCGCGCCAAACGACGGCTGCTTGTTGCACCAGTCCCTTGCTCGGTTCAGTGCGAGGTTAGAGTCGAGACGCAGGGAAGAGATCGCAGAGTACGGCGAGTCTGTTAGGGCGTACGATTCTGTATCATTGAAGCAACCAGGGGCGTCTTCCACGTACTCTGGTGTGACGTACTCCACGCTGAGAGTCCGAATAGTGGAGCTTCTATCGGTTAAGCGCAGGCACGAGAGGTTTGCAACGCTTCGTGCGAGACAACGAGCTACCAACGGTATGGCCAGAGATATCGCTTTCGGAAACGCGTGCAAAAGGGAGGTCAAGAGGCAGCAAAGAGAAACGGGTAGCCGCTTGTCATTGGGGCACAGAAAGGAGCTGCTGAAGAAAATAAGGGAGAGTCGTTTTTTTGGGGACGATCAGTTTGCGCATTGTTCGAAGGGGCCTTGTCCCAGGAAGGCGCTGATTAGAGCTTTGGGTGTGATCTGTCCCGCGGTACTCGTCGATAAGTTTCTACTTCTAAGTGTTGCTACGGGTGTGGCATTCCGCTCACGCAAATGAGTGGTTCTCGAGTTTTTTACTGTAAAAGCCAAACGGGCGAGAGCCGAACTTGCTCAGTGGGTCACATCGACAGAGACGTGAACGGTTCGGTTAACATAGGGGTTGCTGGTGTGTGTAAGCTCCAAGGGATGCCAAGGCCGTCATTTCTTTGTCGTGCGTCCACGGGTGAATAATGTGTTTTAGACACATTGTGAAGACCTTTCTACTTAAATTAACGGTGATGAACGGATCCAGTGTCGTCAACGTAAGCTGGTATAGTAAAATGTGTTTTCTCCTGTTAGATGTCGAAAAAAAGTACATCTGATCTATCGGAGCAGGAAAATATGGCTCAGTGGTAATTTACCGGGACTCACGTGTCGAAAGTCGTGAGTTTGAATCCCGGTGTGCGTCAATCATTGTGGAGAACAAGATCTGCCCCCTGAGCGTCACCTCAGTCAAAGGCATGAGACAAAAGCAGATGCTTTCTCGATGATTGTTGTGAAATGTTCTCGTCTGCTTCGCTAAGAAATCCATGCGGGCGAGAACGAAAAAAACTCCCTCGTGGAGGATTGGATGTGTTCAGACACATTTCAAGAATTTTCTACCCACCAACTTGTCAAGTTGACGGTACTGAACGGATCCGGGTTCATGCCTCTTCAAGTCGCGGCCTTGCTCGGCGGCTCGCCAGCTATGTATGTTGAAACTCATCGCATACAAAGGAGTCAACGTCGCGGCAACGTGTGACAATGGATTTACCGCCCTGCACATTTGTGCCCTTTTCGGAAGAACGGATCTCATCGACGTGCTGGTGCGGATCGGAGACTCTTCCCTGGAAAAGGAGGATGATCAAGGCAGGACGGCTTTCCTCGTGGCTGTATGCTTTGGTCAAGTTCGGGCGGCCGGTGCCTTCGAAAGGCTCGGATCCGACGTGAACTACCGCTACCGGGACGGGGCCACCCCTCTGCACTGCGCGGTTCGGCTGTAAAACAGGCATGTTTTGAGGACTCTGCTTCGCGGGCGCTCCGATCCGACGCTGCTCTTCGACGGACAGACAGCCGCGCAATTGGCGCTGTCTCTTGGCTACGACGATATCGCTGATGAGGTAACAGGGTACGGTCGCCAGAAACGCTTGCAGACGGCCGTTATGCGTAGAGACACGGGCGCCATTCCCATAGTACTAAATTCCGAACCAAGGGTGATTGACAGGCATGGCGAGGCAATGTGCATGGCTATATCGGTCAGGAGCGAGCCGTGGGTGAAAGCCCTCCTCAGCCATCACGACTCCATCAAGTCGGGTACGCGGAGCTACGTCAACAACGCCAATATCGAGTGCGTGGGTTGGTTTGTCACATGTGCTCGGAGGAGCCCTACCATCTGCCAGAATCGCGCGTCTTCTGGTCGACGCTGGTGCAGACACCGTGTCGCCCATACTTTGCAAATGGGATGGGCGTCGTCCTTTCGAGGAAGAGCCAGTTCAGTGCCTGAGGACGGCGATCAGGGCGGACTCGGGGGAAGAAGATGTGGATGATGAGCACCTGTCCCGTCTCGAACGTATTCTACGTCTGTTCATACAAGCTCCCGCTGTACACGCAACCTCTTGGTTGTGGCCCAACAGCACTGGCGGCAGAGTTGACGGTAAAATCCAAGGAGGTCACCGGAAGGAAACTCAAGAAGAGATGGGCTTGAAATATATAGTTTTCGCCATCAGCTCATTCGAACAACAAGAACGAAGTTGAAATCTGCAGAGAACTTGATACAGGCTTCAAGAAGAGAATTCGTTCCATTTTTGGATACTAGTTGCTTCGAAGTTCACCGCACCTCCTCGTCCGAAAACGCGACGGTACCAAACGACACATAAAATCATCCTCAGACTTTAAACACTCGAGAGCTCCACATAGATGGCGTCTCTCTTTTCCTGCTCCATGAACACGCGAGACAATCTGCACAGACGCCCCACCCTCTGCGACCTATTCTCCGACCCTATCGAGATAACAGCTTCCAGCTTGGGGAAGTCCAGCCCGGTGATGTTATCGTCCCTCCCGGACCTCGCACCCGGGGCATACGCACCCCCGGACGTCTCGTCGTGCACGAGCATGAGCTTCTTCGTCCCGTCGTCCTCCTGGAACGACTCCAGTAGCTTGACAAGCTTCTTCCTGGTTACGGGGCACCCCTTCGTACCCTTAGATCGGTACCTTATCATATCAAACCCTTCCGGCTCGAACCCGGTGGTGTTGAGGTCCACCTGGGAGCACACCAGGATGGCCCGGAACGTGCCGCCACCGGATCTATCGTGAGCCACGCTGAGGGCGGTGAGTATCCTGGACATGGTGTCCTGCATCGCGAGGGACCCGTTGTTGACTGGTATGCTTCGACTCAGCGCCAGGGCAAACTCCTCACCGATGGACGACCCCGCAGGTCTCTCCTCAACTCCCGCCCCCGTCTCCACCCCCACTCCCGGCTCGTCCGTCCCGAAGGCCCCCTGGAAGGTGCGCTTGCCGACCACGTTGGAGCTGACGACGCCGTCGATTGTGATCCGACACAAGGGGCAGGTATCCAGCCGGGGGAGACAAGTCGTGCAAACAACGTGGAAGCACGGCTGAATAATGCTCGCCCGGTTCATCTTCTCCAAACAGACGGCACAGTCCTCCTTGACAACCTCCTCGAGAATCCGCGGGGCCCTCTCCACCCTCCGGTCGATTCTGTTGTGCACCACGTACCTGGTGGCCTCTACCCTTTCCAGTATCTCTTCGATGCTCTCGCACCCGGTGATGTCCACCCCCACGGCGTCCATGAACCGATCTACCCCGTTCGCCGGCGTCAGATCAAACGCAGCGGACGCCCCGAGCCTCTCGAAGATGGACCTCTGTACGAGATCCCGAACGTGTGGAGGTTAACATCGGAAATAAGGTCGGCGGATGTGCCGACGACGGTCTCCCTCTGGTCCCGAGGGAAAACGGCGTTCATGGTGAGGCAGGCTACCAGGGGCGCGCCCCTGGTCGTGGTGGCGTTCTCGCCGTATGCGTAGGACCCTAACCTACCCTTGATCGCGTGGGCCATCTCGAGCGACTGGTTGTTGCCGAAAACCCTGCGAATCATCGATCCTTTCCTGCTGGATCCCATCTTGGAGTTGTATTCCGTCATCTTGGAGAAATCCGCGGAGATTAACAGGAGCCTCCCGTAGATCATGCTACTCGGCACGATCGAGTAGACGGCATTGTTTTTGATGTCGCAATTGTCAGTGCATTCGTCGAAGCACAGGGAGCCATACGCGACACTCGCTGATAGGGCCTTGGTCGGACCGAAGGAGCTGGAATCGCACACGATGAGGGCGAAGTCGAAGTCTTCTCTTGAGAGCGATTCCGCGATCTTGTTCGCCCCCACCACGAACCTCTCCGACGGGTACATGGAGGACATGATGTTGGCTGCCTTTGTCAAACATCCGTTGGTGGGATCATGGAGACTCGGCCCCCGTCCGGCTCCCTCTCCCCCACCTCGATGCACCCCGTGTTGCATGTGTGGACACACCTCGTCCATTCGTTCCACCGAAAGGAGGAGGCTCACGATGGGTGCCACGATCGTCTTCTCCATGCCCGGGGGAAGGTCTATGAAAACGGGAGATCCCATGTCTGACACGGGAGACATGAACTTCCTGACAACCCTTGTGCTCGGGTGTCCATCTCGACGCACGTCGTATCCGACGTTGACTCGGGATGTCGGCCTCCACACACAGTTTACGATGGTCTCGACCTGGATGGGCGTCAGCTCGAACCCGTGACTCGCCGATGATTTCTTCAGCGCATCCTTCACTCCGGACATATGGCGGTCGTCAGAAACATGGTGAGTTATCGTGTAGCGTTCACAATCGATGATGGAGTGGAGCCCACATCCTCGAGCGGCGGAGCGCACCATATCGGCCATCGAGCACTTCAGGCTCCTCGAACCTCCTTCGGGTGAAGGGAGACCGTAACGCTCCAGGGACATGATTCTAGTTTGTGTGTAGTCAGGTTAGTCAGTGGCGTCGAAACGAGGTCGGAACTGGATCGCATACATTTATCTGGCAGAAGGAAACGCGGCACCCCTCAGTCTACGTTGGGTCATTGCGAATCCTACTTTGTATCACACTTCACAGTGAAGAACATGATAGCTCCGGCGCATTCGGTCACCTCTCGCGGCACGTCGAAGCCTGCGTCGTGCAAGATATCATTTCTGTACGCGCAAAACTCTACGTAGTCTCGCATGTATGGTTCAGTACTGTCAAAGAGTCTCTGCGACAATGCATCCGTTGTTCGAATTTTGGGGGACATCTCGCACACCGCGAGAACCCCACCGAGTTTCAGGATGCGGAGGCACTCCATCAACACGCGCCTGATTGCATCAAGGGGAAGCTCGTGCAAAACAAACGACACCGACACCAGATCAACAGAGTCACCGAAGAACCGGGTATCCGCCATGTCCCGATGTATGTAAACTCTCGGAGGTTTTCCAACGGCGTAGTCGAGATAGTATGGCTGAGGTCTACACCGTAAACAGCCGTTGCAGACCGGAACTCTCGGGCAAGAAAGTTTGTGGAAACGCCTATGCCGCACCCCATATCAATTATCGTTTTATGCCGAAACGCTAGCTCGCTCTTCTCCGTCTCCTGACGTGTTCGTGTGTTGAACGTGCTACGCACAAACCCGTTGGCCTCCCCACCGGTCTTGCCCTGGTAGTAGAAAGCCATCGTAGCCTCTGTCACAGCCATTGCCTCCACTGAAGCTACCGGATTGAGATTGCCCCCGTCATAGGCAGGCATGGAAGTCTTGCCGGTAATAGTCTGGAAATTGAACGGACGGGTCGTAGTGCTGGCACTCTGGGAGCGTTTTTTATTGGCGGTAGGCAACACCGCTGGCCACTTGACACCCCGAGAGGATGTGACCGCCTTGAAGGCTGTTCGAATCGCGTTGTTAGAGAAGAAGCCCTCCACGGGCAGAGCAAGTACGAGAAGGAGATTGACGCGCATGCTGCTTGTTCGGGACACCAATAAATCAACAAAAAAAATGCCGCAGCTCTGCCATGTCGGTCTTCTGTTCACGACTCTTACTCCCAACTCTGAGCTCTTATCTTACTTTCCCTGCACGCAAACGGGCTTGTGGAGCTTCCAAGCCGGTTTCCTACAAGCCTTCGAACCACATGAGTAGTACCCCTGGCACCTGCTACACGAGAACCTAGTTGGCTCCTTGCAAACGAGACAAAAGCGCTTGAAGCGCGCTCGGTGGAGCAGCGTTCTGGGACTAAAGACGGAAGCGAGGGCTTGGACCTACTCGCGGCGGTGGTGAAGCTTGGAGTGGAGATGGACGGCGTGTTTCGCGACATTGTCGGCTTTCTGTGAAGGTGCAATCCGCGTGTTTCTATGTTGTGTGGAAATTTAGTGTGAAAAAGCACCTTCTGGGGGGGGAAGGGTAACTACAGCCAGCTACGCGGAGACGATAAGGGGGTCCGTGTTTGATTTGGATCACTAGAGAGCATAGGTTGCTTGACTATTGAGTAACAACATTATTTAACCTCCGAATCAGGTTTGAGGGATCGGGGGCTCGCAGCAGACTGTAGTTGAGATGACAAAGTAGGGGTATGCCCCTTTTTGCTTTTATGTGGGCCGCATATTGTATGCGGAGCGGTCGTCTATTTTGGACCACGTGTTTGTGCGTTTTCCTACCTTGTTTGGTATCGCCGGCGATGGGGTAGGTGATGTCGTGTGATGCGCACTTGACCCCGTACCCGTTGTCTAGCAGGGGGATGTGTGTGCTGTAGGGGTACGGGGCATGCACGGTGGTTGGCATCGGTTAGAGAGGGCCACCACTCGCGCGTGTGTGGGGGCGGAACCCCGACAGGACAAAAGAGGAAAGAACACGGAAAGCACAACCACCCCACCCCCCGCCTGTCGACAACTAAACTTGAACGAAAGTGCTGACCCTAAAATACGGTACCTCGAGTTCCTATGCATGAGAAATCGACACGCAAATTGCCCCATAACACAACCCAAGTCCGAGGTGCCGATGCAATCGCTACGCAGATTTTACCACAATGTACTTGAAACCCAAATCCGAGACATCCGAGAAACAGGCCATGGGAGATGCGGGGATACGCTACGCAGATATTACCACGGCGTACTTGAAACCCTAAACCGAGGCATGTGAAAAACAGGCCGTGGGAAATTCCCGAGCTCCTGACATGCGAAAAACAGGCAGGGTGTACGCCACGAAAATAGCACCAAACGTAGCAACAAGTCCAAACTATCCAGGGTTCACGAGGGCACGGGGGACGCGACTTGTGCCGGAGAGACCTGTTTGGGGGGCGGCAGGGAAAGAATGGTGCACGGCGCCGAGGTTTCATGATCGCACGGTGTTTCTAGTTGCCTAAATCGGTTGGATCGCGTGGCCGTCTCTTAGGGGCGGCAAGACGGAATCGGTGCACCGGCGTCTGCCTTGGATACACTGCAACTCTGTGTTTTGTCAGGGCTATGCGTTGTGCTGTCTCGTCGGACCTGAAAATCGCAACACAATTTTACGATTGCGCAATACCAAGGCAAACCACAGATCATCGGGGCCGTCAAAGCTACGGGTTGCCGGCAACAGCTAACCCTTCGCAAACACAAACTCAGGCGGTATAGGATCCCGGCTGCATCGAGTCACCGCGGCGTGCGCTCCACCAGGAGACAAAAGATCTGTCGTCGGGACACCACCTGATTCGACGAAAAGCGGAGATGTCAGCGAGGAGTGCGCAGGGAAGCGGAGAAAGTTGTCAGCGGAGCGCGGAAAGTTGTCAGTGGTGCGCAGAAAGGCAGCCGACGCCTACGACCAATCCTAATGTTGACCCCACGCTCATCTAGGAAATTATAGCCGTTTGAAAAAAACGAGGGGAGGAGGAGGAACCCGTTAGCGAGATTTGTAGAGGCAACGCTGCTTCGAAACGTCGGTGGTTTGGGTAGGCTCGACAGCAGCTCGGGCTGGAGGAACCTGTTGGGCGGTGGGTGGTAGGGCAAAACACGGTGCACGGTGCCCTGCTATTGGCGGGCCGGGACTCTGACTGCCTGCATCGAGATACACCGGGGGATGACGTGCTACAGTAAAGCATTTCACCCGTGGACAAATGAAACAGGGCGAACAGAGTTCGCGTAGCCTCGGCGACTCTAATCGTACCAAATCATTGCATCTTCACTGCTTCTATATGACAAACGTCACGGGTCGGCAACGTTGAGGTTTCCTAGCAAAGGCCATCACAGGTTCGCAACCCCGGTCTTTACATTCTATCGAAGAATCACCAAGGACAAGCGCAGTGAGCGTGGAAACTACCTATGCATTGCTCACTGTTAACGACACACGCCACAGATCGACCAGGCTCGGGGGTTCTGTTCTAGCGAAGGTCACCAGCGGCAATCTCGCACGCCGTGCTATGCTCACTATTAACGACACACGTCACAGATCGGCAACACGAGGGGTTCCGATCAGGCGGAGGCCATAAACGGCCATCTCGCACGCCGTGCTATTCTCACTCCTTATTCCATGCCGTGCACGTGCGAGAGTAGATGCGGGAAATAGGCTGAGTGTGCTGAACGAACCAACTTACCTATCGAAGAGAAGACGCTGGTGCGCGGGTCTCGCATCCCTCGAACTGGTTGCCTCGTGTGTCCACGGTTCCACGGAGACGATGTTTGGACACGAGTGCAGAGCAAGGCTGCACGCGAGGCTTGATTCTACTCTAATCTTACAACTGGAGCGTGCGCTAGCACCGAGTGTATTACCTATCGAAGAGAAGACGCTGGTACGCGGTTGCCTCATGTGCCCACGATTCCACGGAGACAATGTTTTGACAGGAGTGTAGAGCAAGGCTGTACGCGAGGCTTGATTCTACTCTCAACCTACAACTGGAGCGTGCGCTAGCACCGACGGTATTACCTATCGAAGAGAAGACGCTGGTACCCTGGCTCTCGCGCCCCTTGAGCGGTCTTGCTGGCTCGGTGTCTGTCGAGGGGTCGGTGGGTGGAAGAGTGTCTTGTCCTTCGCTTGCAACAAAAGCGCGGCGGACATAGGGTTGTCGTCGGTTACGCCATTGCAACGCAAACCTATTGGACGAACCCCCTCCAATCAGGCTTGTCCGTGTGCAGCAAGCTTTTATTCTCTCGCGGTGCAAACGAGAGGCGAAGAGTTCGTCGAAATGTAACTTTTATTTTGCCTCACTCCGGGAACCGTTTCAGATCATCACACGGAGCCCCCTACACTGCTGTATCGGGGCACCACGCAGAAAACAGAACGAACAACCTTTGCATGGCACGACGCGCCAATACAGCTCACTCACAACGCCAATTGTGGCTCCCGGTCCTAGGCCTCGCAAGCGCATCAAAGTATCCTCTATTTCCAAGGCAAAGGTGAACGTCACCGACCTTGACAAACCGGGAATCAAGAAATCAGAAGTCACCCGTCCAAAACACACCCCAAGATGACTTTCCAATGCCCGGTGACAATAAAAACGATATTTGAGAGCCCTACCAAAGAACAAGTGGAACAGGTTTACCTAGCAAGGTGCGACAAAGGGGAGCCCTTTGATCGCCTACCGGAATCCGAGAAGCTGGCTTGGAGGGAGTCACTCAGCGACAACCAGGCGTTGATGGGGTCCATGATCTACAGCCAGCTCCTTCCCTCTCTCCTGAAGAACAGAATCAAGCTAAATTCCGCCAGCTACCATTGGAACCCGCTTGACGCAACATGCGACCAAGATCGACTGAAGCTTCAGCAACGTCAGGCAGCCATGGCGAAGCTAAAGAGACCGGGATCCACGCGCTCGGTTTACAAGGGTCTTCCGTACATCGTGGATTTGACCCAAACAGGAAACGTTCTTCAGTTCATGAAAGTGGACCTCGAGGACGAAGACGAACGTTTTCGGTCGTTCATGGGCCGCGAGTTTTCGATGCTGTCCTCGGAGCGAGGAAACGTGAACGGTTCTTCGGTTTTCGCGTCGTGCTCCATGGCGCTCAGCCTAATGTGTTTCAGTACGCTTGTTCTGGGTCGCCCGTGCAGCCTCGAATCGGCCATTCTGCCTTTTTCCACCCTCGAGAGGCAGGCGCTAGAACAGAGGTTCAAATGCCCCCCGAACTTTTTCGATGGGGCCGTTCGGGAGGTTCAGACCAACTGGAAAGACGTGTTCACATCCATAGGCATAGCCCACCGGAACATCGACTGCACGATGCTCGAGAAATTCAGCGGGGAGCGATACATAGAGGGGCTGTACGTCGCAGACGCCTACGCCGTGTATAGGGGTACCATGTCTGCACCGGGCGACGCCAAGAGCATCACGGCCCTCGTAAACGCGTACCGGGACCACTCGAAGCACGGCGTCGACTCCAGTGCTATCGTCGGCATCATCGACGTGCTCCGATGCAAGCCCTCTGACGGCATCGGCAAGATCGACGGGGGGGTTCTCGGCACAATTTTTTACACTTACGGAGAAAAGGACAGCGTCAGGGTGCAAGAGGACTGCAACAACAAGCTGCAGGGGGGAGTGACACTTTTCGACTACTCCGTGAGCGGCAAGCTCGGCGAAGTGATAACCCACTTCGACAAAGAGATACCCAGAGCCAGGAAGAAGCACAAGATGGAGATGATTATCAGGGGGAACATGGACCCAGCGGGGCTCATAAAAAAGGTGGAGTCTGGAAGGATGCTAGACCCATGCGACGCAAACTCGCTGGAGCTCCTGCACGGCATGCTCATGGGGCTGTCGGGGCGGGTTTGGAGACCGCTGAAGCAACTGATCGGTGAAGCGCTGGGGGCGAGCATGGAATACCCCTCCGCGTTTTTGCGCCTGTCGCTCGAAGAAGAGGAAGTGCTCTACAAGCTTATGGTTAAATCACGCGTGGGGTACAAGGACATCGCCAACCTCTACATACTCCTGGTCCTGAGTAATTCCTTCCAACGGTCACAAAACCTGCGCGAATCAACAGTGGACGAGTATCAAATTGTACCGGATGGGACCCACTTCAAGAACAGACGATTCAAGACGGCCTCTTCCAGTGGCAGTTCATCTTCGCCGCCAGTCTCACACCTCGTTTTCAATCCTCACCAATCGATGATCGTCAAGTTCATTTCGAGAGTGGGGCACGGCTTCTGCAAGGTGCAAGACTTACAAGACGACAAGAGCAGGCTGTTTTTGAACAGCAAAGGGCAAAATTGGACCCAGAAGGACATTGGTTCGCGCTTCAAGAGGATCGGCCTTCACTGGCTGGGGATAGACAACTTCAGCCCCCACACCTGCCGTTCATATTGGTCAACGCATGCTCTAAACTCCGGGCAAGTGACTCCGGCCAACGTGGAAGACTTTAGCAGCTTCTTGTAGGTGTCGAGCTCCACGCTGAGGAATTCGTGCATGGCATCGGGAGGCAACTCCGCTGCCCATACCCTGGGCAGTGAGGTTCTGGGGTCGGTGGCGAATGCCGCTTGCACGGGGGCTACAACTGAAGAGGGTGCTGCTCCGTACGGAAAGAAGTTGAATGCCCGTAGGCTTGAGTTTATCGGACAGATCGGCGCTTCCTTGGCGAAATACGGGGGGGACAAAAAGGGCTATTATTTGGCTGTCTCGTTAAGAAGAGGGAGGCGGGACAGCTTGCGGATGATGAGAAGTGGTTTCGGTTCGAAGCGACATTTTTCAGTTCGGATAAAGAGCGGTTGTTTATCCGCTTCCTGGACAACAATGCGTGAAATAGTCAATTAAGAAATTCTAAATCACGGCACCAAAATATCTGTCCGAGGGCACCGGAGGAGGGTAGAAACAATGGGACATGTGCGTAGAAGCAACACTGGGCAGAAGAACATACGAAAAGTGCATTAGCTGGTCCTGTGGTGTGGCAGAATATCCGTTGTGCTTCTTTGTTTCTTGTATTCTCCCGACAACAACAATGCATCTCCTTCCCCACCCTGACTCTTACCCTACGGAAACATCACACATTACTCTCTGTACGAAACATACACAATGCGGCGGCAAACGTCACACCGGACCACGTGCTTTCCACACCGGCTCTGTGTGACAAAAAAGAATCACGAGTCCTGGTTCTGGCACCCACACCTCAACTGCGCGCACTTGCTGCACGTGTACCATTCCCAGACAAACTTGTCATCCACACCATTGTCTTCGTCGTTCTGGGTCAGAGCGTCCCTCAGAGCAACGAAGGCCTTCTGCTTGTTCACACCGGGTATTGCGGTACCGAATTCGCTACTCCTGTACCAAGCCCCGGGATCGAACGCGGGTGTATCATTTTCCTTCAGGAAGTTCACCATACCATAGTGACCCTTCCTGTGCCTACCCGATTCCATCCTATTCAGAATCTTCTTGTATCTGCCAGCGTCATCACCGCCTGCACTGACTCTTTCTCTGGCGCGGGCATGCGCCGCCTTGATCGCCCCCAGCACAACGAGCATCCCCTCTCGTTCCCCATCCGTGAACCGTGCAGCCACGGGCTTTCTAGTCGGGCGTTTCCTCTGGACGCCTGCCACGTGATCACATATCTCATATTTAACGGGTTGACCGGTACTGTCTCTTGACATTGCTTTCACTCTCACACGTTCGAGGCAGCTTGTCGGAGTTTCGTTAGGACTTTCCCTGCACACAGTTTTTGCCACTCCAACAATTCCGCTGGTGTGAGGAGTAGCGGTGTTGTCGGCGATATTAGATGCGCCACGGCCATGCTTATACCGAAAACGTCGGTACCGTCCACCACGTCTACCCCCAGGTTGTTGTTTCCAAACACCACCTCTTCAAATGTAACGCGAATTCCTTCCTTCGCGCACAATCTCGTGGCCATCTCGAAGTACTTCGATGCTCTATCTCCTTCATGAGCGAAAATATGGAGACGTTTCTTGTGCCGTGGGTAATACTCTCCGTAGGCCTTAACCTGACCGATCCCACTCTTCCAATTTGTGCAGTGCCTAATTTCGATTACCTCGCCCTTCGTGAAAACGTCAATGCAGCCTGCGGGGGTTCCCCACTCGACTTCGCCTTGGATGCGGCGAGCAAGAGCATCTCTGACCTTTGTCTCATCAACTTTGCTCGATTTTGTTTTTTCGAGTGCGCAAGCGGCGCTGTCGAGGCGTGCGCGCCCGGATCGTGATAGCTTGCGGGCAATGGTGCGTCACTTAACCAAGGCATGTTGCTCTATTGTGGTCAATATATTTGAGCGTATTGACTGAACGAGCCAGCGCTGGCGGTCCCGTCTTTGAAATATTATCGTTCCTTCTCAACTCTTCTACCACGCAACCACTCGTAACACACAACCTACCACCTACAAAGAAGCGAGCCGCACACGCACGCAAAAACCCCACACCTACTCACTTTGACCACCACTCCCAGACGAACTTTTCGTCCACTTTGTCATCTCTTCTATCATTGTCTTGCAGCTCCGCTATCAGATTGACTAACTTGTTTTGCCCGTTTTGGGGTATTACGTCGATGACTCTTTCGTACCCCTGCTTTGAACTCTTTGTCCTTCTTCCGAAGATTAATAACCGTCCCATAGTGACCATTTTGAAACTTCGGTAGGTTCATTCGCTTCCAGATCCCATCGCTATCACCCCTTCCTCTGGCGCGTGCGTACGCGGCCTTGATCTCTCCCAGCACGAAGAACAAGCCCTCGCGTGTCCCATCTGGTAAGACAATTTTCTTGAAAATGGCGACATAGCGACGAGATTCACGCGGGGGAAAGTAAGCCACAATCGTGATTCGAACGTGCAGTGTGATGAAGTGATGTCGGGACATTAGAAGACGATAAGGGCAGAAACAACAGTTCCCAGAAGACACTCTTACCTCTCCTGTGTTGTTGCGTACTCTGGTGGGCTGGAACTTCTTGTAAGCGTCATACACCTCCTCCACGCCCGCCTCGAGATCACTTGTCTTGAATATAGCGGACTTCTTCTTGACGCCTGCATCGTGATCACTTGTCTCGCATGTCGCGCGTTTCCTCTTCGCGCCTGCCCCCTGGCCATCTGCCTCGTGTGTCGCGGATCCACCAGCCTACGAGGGAGGTCGACAAAACAACCAAGCCATATGCTATATTTTCAACCCACGTGCCCCAATGACCCGTCTGTTGGGTTGCTACATACGCACGCAATAGTCGAGGTAGTGTACAGCAACTGCAACACTCGGTACACTCAGCTCTTTACCTTCTGCTGGTGGTCGGCGCAGAAACAGGTCTTGTTGACGGCTGGCCGTTCGCATCGCCGCAGACGCGCTTCCCCGTTCACCTCGAAACACCTCTTCGCCAATACACTGACATGTTTGCGAAAGTGTCGAAGCAAACCAAAGAGAGCGAGTTAGTGTTGTCCCCGGGGAGTACCCTTCAGATGTAGATGAACAGCTAGAATAATATGTAATTTGGTAGCACCTGACTGAAGCGCCCCGCCGGTCGGCTCTTTCAGCGCGTGCTCGCGTCCCGCCGGCTGTGACGCGCGCTCCGTTATCTCTACCGCATCGCCCGTAGCGGATCCACCAGTCCCCCCGGTATTCGCCTCCAGCGCGTGTTCGCGCTCCCTCACGGCCTGTTCGCGCTCTCTCACGTCCCGCTCGCGCTCCCTCACGGCCTGTTCGCGCTCTCTCACGTCCCGCTCGCGCTCCCTCACGGTTTGCTCGCGCTCCCTCACGGCCTTCTCTCGCTCCCTCAGCTGTAAGTCGCGCCCTCCCGCGCTGCTCCCCCCCTCCATTTCACGCTCGTGCTCCACCGCCCCTTTGAGAATGCTATACGCCCCCCCGCTGAAATCAACTACGCCCTTGTAGCGCAGCTGGAAGCGTCCAGTCTGCTTTGTCACAGCCCGGTGAACGTAATATCTCGTCTCCATCATCTGTGTTTGTGTCACATAGGGATCGCAGAGGAGGCGGGGGTGTAGGTTGAGTCTCCGGTGAACAACATACATAAACAACGCAACACTATGGGGCACACAGGCTAAAGCAACCTACAGGCACACACCTTCTCAGACGACAGGAAGCCGGAAGCAAAATCCTTGATGACGGGGCTGCTCATCGGTATCCCCAGCGCCGTGCTCAAGGACATGACAAGGGTACAACACGCCGTCCGAAATTGCATGATAGTCAGGTTTTCCACCGCCAGATAGGCTCGCCCGATCTTCTTCACGATCCCGTTAAAACGTTTTTGCGCCATCACCCCCCCTCGGGCGTCTACCGGGCCGATGTATGGTGATAGCTCGCCCTGGGGGTCGTCGACGCTCTCAAAGAACGCACGCCCGATTACGTTCGTAACTGCGTACCAGTACCCGCAGTCGACGTCAATGACATGCTCTCTGGCGACACCGTTGCCACTCCCGTGACCATGCTTTGAGAGATTGTTCTTCGGCGGGAGTCCAGCCACCATCCTACCCGGGTTCCTGGATTCGCGCCGACCGTTGACCGAAAAATTTGCCCATCGACGGAAGAAAAACCCTTGGTTGCGGAGTGGGTGTGGCGAAACCATGTCGCGCACCCCTGTAGCCGCGCTGGCGAGCTCGAAATGCTCTCTTCTGATGCCCCTGCTCTTCAGCCCTTCCACCACCGCCGCGATCCTTCTCCGCTGAACCTCGTCGACGCCCCGCAGCTGTTTCTCCGTGAACACAGGCCTCTTCTTCACACTCGTGGAAGCCACTTCCGCGACTCTCAAGATGTCGTAGCACCAACCATCGTCGCCAAGACACTTGCCGTCTATCTCATCGATTGCATCCAGCACGCGCTTCATCCCGTTGATGTACATCCCTCTCAAGAGGAATTTCACTAGTTCAAAGCTTTCCTCGTAAGGTAACCTCGCAAACGGCACATTTCCCTTCCTGGCCTTCTTCGCAACCCCTTTCAGACCGCTTTCCCGGCCCTCTTCCTCTCCCGCCTCGTTCCTCTTGGCTTGAAGAAATTTGCCCACTTGGTTGTACACCTGGCCCAGCGCGAACTCCGTTGGCCCCGACTCCTCTAGACCTAACTCCGGGTCCCGCTGCATGACGCACTTGAGAAGAGGCAATGCCTTTGCAGCCTTGGTAAACGTCCCCGTGTGGTTGCTCTTATCTATCAGCGTTCCATACCTCCCGTCGTCCTTGGAGAGCACTTTAACCATGGCCGGCGGGATGTTAGGGATAACTTCGTTGCACCTTTCCAGCGAGAAGCGCATCGCGACCGTCATCTTTTTCGGGTCGCCGTTGATTCTGAAGGGCTCGACACTGAAATCCTCTTGGCTCTTTTCGTTGTCCCTCCAGCAGTCGAAATGGTCGCTGAGAACTTTGCGCTCGCCGGCGCAAATAGGAAGGTACGCCTCGTAGAAGCTGATCGGGCGGGTCAGACGGTAGCTGTACTGAAGAAGCTGCATGGCGTAGTTGATGTGTGACGGATAAGCGCCGTGCAGGTCATCTCCTGACATTCTGACCATCAACTTCCTGTCGTTTTCGACCATAAAGTCGCCGTGCTCACGAAGCCCGCCCAGACCGTCAAGCCTGCACAGAGACCCTTTGCTGCTAGCGAAGGCCCGCAAGAAGTTTGCCTCGTCGTGGCCGGTGTCTCCCTCACGCGTGGCCCTCACTGGTAGCGCGTGGAAGATGTCCGCCACCGATGTATTAACGAAGGCCAATTTCGACAACCTTCGCATGCTGGCGACACTCTCCAACTGCTCCCGCTCCTCGCTGCTTAGCTCCCGCTTGGACCAGTCATCCAGCATGCCGTCGGTCCCCACCGGCTGCACTCCCTTTTGGAAAGGTACCAACGATCTATACATGAGTTCGTGCCACGAGAGAAGCGATCGGATGTACCTCCGTAGGTCCTCCTCTAGTGTCACTGGAGAGTTGGACACACCCCCATCCTCGCTGAACCGACTCTCCAATAGTTCCCACTGTTCCATCTCGATGTTGCTGTCGCGAAGGCTATACCAACCCTCTTCGACAGATTCCACCGTGTACACCACGCCATCGAACTTCACACACGTTTCTTCCAAGACCACCCCGATGTCTGTCGGGTTGTACTTGGCATTCAGGTTGTACCACTTCTTGAGAGAATCAAGCTCGTCCCGTTTAAAGTACACCTTGCCACGAACAATCTCGAGCTGCCCCTCCCCATCTCCAGGCAATCCGTCCACAAGAGTGCTGATCAGTATCGGGAACGTCATGGTTTCATCCTTCCTTGTTGTGGTTCCGTCGAACGTGTCCGCATACGCTCTCACTTGCTCCTCCGCCAACTTCATATTCTTCTTCATGATCCGTTCAATTTCTTCGTTCCATGGCGTACAAAGGTGGTCCCCTACGTCTTTGTGTCCGTTCCGTCCCTCTGTTTGTACTTTCTCGTCGTCTCACCGGTTCCCCCCTCACCGGCAGATGGGGACGTGACCACGGGCTCCCGCTGCTTACCCTTGCCCTTGCCCTTGCCCTTGCCCTTGCCCTTGCCACCACCTTTCTCTCCGCCCCGGGAATCGGCGGAAGACGGGGCACTCGGAACCGGTCGGGACAGCACCGTCAAACGCAGGGGCAACCTGAACGGTTTAAACGAGAGGAGTAACGGGAGATAGGTTAGGTAGAGAAAGCACACACACACGCGTGGAGTTGAGCGCGAGCTATCCTGTTTAGCTGTGGAAAAACCACCCGAGGTACACAATCTCTCACCTGCCGCTCGTTGGCATCTGGTGTGCCCGGGGAATCGGGCGAAGACGGGCTTCTCGACGCGGAATCAGTTGAAGACGAGGCACTCGACGCGGAATTGGTCGGAGACGAAGTACTCGCAGCGGAACCGTCGCCATCGTCAACGTCCCCGTCGCTGCTTCCGCCGCCGCCAAAGTCACCGCCGGCGATGTCGTCGTCGCTCACTCCCATGGGAGCGACCCCGCAGTCACTGCCACGGCCACCGGCCCCACCGGCCGTGAGTTTGCCGCCACCGCCGTGGCCATTGCTCTTGGGGATGTTGCTGCCCGTTACTCTTACTGTACCCTTGGTGGTGTATGCCAACTCGGGGATGTTGTCAGGATTTAAACACTTGGATTCAAGCGCCGCGGGCATATTTCCATCCTTGTTTGCGTATGGCTTCCTTGGCCTGGCGGGGTTACGACGCAAACCTGGTGCGTCGGGAAAATTGGAAAGGATGAATGAGTGTACTATTCTAAGGTCGCGGGTTGCTTGTTCAAAAAGAATAACAAAGACAACACGAAAAAATGAGAGCACCAATGCGACTTGATTCGAACAAAGGATAGTAAGCCTTGCCGGTGGTCGGAGGTGCGGGATTAGCCTCAGGAGCCTCCGACACGTTCACGGCGTCTCGGCCCTCCGGAGTGTCCTCGTTCGACCCACCACCATTCTCTCCGCCCCAAGAATCAGTTGAAGACGGTGGAAGACGAGACACTCGACGAGGAATCGGACGGGATAGCACCGCCAAATGCCGGTGCAACCTCCCCCACCTGAATGATTCAAACGAGAGTGATGGGCGACGGGTTGGGCAACGAGAACACATACTTACACGTGGAGTTGGGCATGAGCTATCCTGTTCAGCTATGAGAATAAACCGCTCGAGGTGCTCAATCTCTCACCTGCTGCTCGTTGGCCTCTGGTTCGCCCAGGGAATCGGGTGAAGACGGGATGCTAGGCGCGGAATCAGTGGAAGACGGGGCACTCGACGCGGAAACGGACGGGATAGCTCCACCAAACGCGGGTGCAAGTGCAACCTCCCCCGCCTGAACGATTGAAAGGAGAGTGATGGGTGACGGGGTGGATCACGAAAACACACACGTGGAGGGTAGCACGAGCCGCGCCTTAGCGTACGCCTAGACGCTTTGGGGGCCACGTCTAACCACACACCTCTAAGTCTACACACACCTCTAAGTCTAAGGAAGTGGTAAATCGTGTCGGGTGTGCGGGTGTGGGTGGTGACAAGAACAACAACATAATAACTACTACAGTAGGAATATTCGAAACGCACACACACCTTTCCGTCCCCTAGCCCCGCATTCACCGAGGCCCCAGGAGTCTCCGACACGTCCATGGCATCCTGGTCCTCCGGAGTGGCTGCGTCCACCGTAGCTCCCGCAATCACCGGAGCGTCATGAGCCCCAGGAGCCTCAGGAGTCTCCGACACGTCCATGGCGTCCTGGTCCTCCGGAGTGGCTGCGTCCGCCGTAGCTCCCCCACTCGAAGGGGCCCCCGAATCGTCACCGTCCCCGCCTCCCCTGATGCTCCGCAGCCTACGGTAAATGTCGCGAAAGCGAGAGACACGGTCGCGCCTGAGCGGCATGCGTCCTCGGGGCCACTTGCGAATGCCGCAAGTTTTGTGGACCGTCTTCCCGGTTCCGGTGCGGCGAGGGATGCGACGGACGAACGAGATCACGGCATTCACGAACGCGCCGTCGTCCGGTTGAGCGCCTGCCTGCAGAACTCCATGACCGAGCCCAGGTCGTTTCCAGTGGAAGCCTTGGTGCTGGCATCGGGAGCAATGAGAACAAAGTGATTCCCCCCCCGACCACAGAACCGTGGGCTGACCGGTCGGCTCCACTGCATCATTGGGATTGAAACGATCCACCAAGCCGACTCCGCGGACCTCGTGGGCGATCCTCACGTCTGGGATCCCGAAGATGCGACCCAGCACCAAGACTGCGATGCCGTCGATGTAGCTCCCTCCCTTGAGGATGGCCACTTCCCACTCGGCCAGAGATCCAAGTTCCGCCGTGGTGAGAACGTCCGAGCCGGCATCTCCCTCGTCCTCGAAGAAAAGCGCCAAGTCCGGGGAGCCGCGAAGGTAGTTCACGACGCGCCGGCGGCACAAGATCAGAAGCTCGCGCATTTCTTGTGTACGGGCGGCTCGACGGATCACCCCCTCGGCTTCCGACACAGAGATGCCGCGCTCCTTCATCAAGAGTAGCTGCAGCATGCTGTGGAGCCCGCACGAACCGTCCGCAGGGTTGGCGGGGGCCGTCCACGCATCCCTCCACGACGGCGCCTTCGCCTTCCGCCTGCTCGAGTGGCCCTTCCCGCGTCCCTTCTTTCCATGTTCCCGTGCCATGTTTCACCTGCCATAAATGTAGGGGAGTGAGGTTTGAGGGAGCGATGCGTCAAGCGAGCTCAAGAGTATGCGAAGAAGGATGTAAGAGGGATAATGTTGTAGGTTATGCGAATGAGGTGCAGTGTGTGAATCGAGGTTTGCCGTAGTGTGTTAGATTTATTCAACCTTCTGAACGGAACCGTCATAATCCAAAACATTATGCAAAACGAAAAGCATTCAGATTGTAGGACGATGGGAAACCATCAGGAGAGGGTGGAACGCCATGTAAGAAAGAGAAGGGAGGGTGTGGCGCTGTGTAAGAAGTATAGAGGAGAGGGGGTGTGGGGCTGTGCAAGAAAAATGAAGGAGAGGGGGTGTGGCGCTGTGCAAAAAGTATAGAGGAATTGAGGGCGTGGGGCTGTGTAAGAAAAATAAAGGAGAGGGGGTGTGGCGCTGAGTAAGAATAATGAAGGAGAGAGGGTGTGGCGCTGTGTGGCTGTGTGAGAATAATACAGGAGAGGGGGTGTGGCGCTAGGTACGAAAATAGAAGAGAGAGATGGGGGCGTGCCATGCCAATAGAGATGGTCCGCCAAGGGCGCTATGTAAGTTCAGACCGGGTTTCAATCCGGATTACAAGATGACCATCAGGGAAGGGTGGAGCTCCATGAAAGAAAGAGGGGGGAGGGCGTGGCGCTGTGTACGTGTTACTCGCAAAGAGGAGAATGGGTAGGGCACTATGTGAGTAAAATAGAGGGGAGAGGGTGAGGCACTGCGTGAAACAAAAAGGAGAGAGGGTGTGGGGCTGTGTAAGAAAAGTGAAGGAGAGGGGGTGTGGCGCTGAGTAAGAATAATGAAGGAGAGAGGGTGTGGCGCTGTGTGGCTGTGTAAGAATAATACAGGAGAGGAGGTGTGGCACTGGGTAAGAAAATAGAAGAGAGGGATGGGGGCGTGCCATGTCAATAGAGATGGTCCGCCAAGGGCGCTATGTAAGTTCAGACCGGTTTTCAATCCGGATTACAAAATGGGCCACCATCAGGGAAGGGTGTGGAGCTCCATGTAAGAAAGAGGAGGGAGTGTTATAGGATTCAGATGTGTAGACGGAACATAGAAGAGCTTGGTTCCTTCTAGAAGGCGCGGAGAGATGTAACTCTCCGCGGAAGGATAAAAAGCAGGGGACAGGATCTAGTAGCCCCTGCTTGTGCAGAGGATCCTGTGCCCCTTGGTGTCATTCCTGCCGATACCCAAGGCAACAGCTACTGCTGCTGCTGTTCTACAAGAGTAACAACAAGTGAGTTCTTCTTCACGGGTCAACCAGACTTCATCACGCGTGCATACCACTACACTTGGCGTCGTCGGCAGGACAGGAGTTCTTCTTCACGGGTCAACCAGACTTCATCACGCGTGCATACCACTACACTTGGCGTTGTCGGCTTATTCGTACGGTGTTGTCTGGCTTGGTTGTGTTTTGGCGCGGTTTGGTACTTTAGGCTGCTGCTGCAGTTTTTTGCGCTTTCGTCCCAACCACAGTTTAGCTTTGCCTCGCTTATCGGTATGTCTCAATCTAGCGTCGGCTCATCGGACTCTGCTTCGGCGAGTCCTGAGCATTCGGAACGTTCGCGTTCGCCAGTGCCATCGCCTCGCGTAGCGACCTTCGGGTCCCCGGCAGCTGGCCGTCAGGCCACACAGCTGCTGCTGTCTTCGGACGGTGCTCGTGCCGCTGACCCTATTGCCGATGCCGCTCGTTTGTCAGAGCTTCGCGCTCAACGCATTCGGGAGAGGTTCGCCTCGCAGGCTTCGGTCGACGCTAACCCCGTGGGTGCTGTCCTCAAACCGCCAGCACCCACACCTGGAACTTCGGTTCCTGCCTCTGTGTCTTTGGGTGTACAACAGCAGTCCGTCTCGACGGCTGCTGGTGATGAGCTTTCTGAATTCCCGCGTGAACCACATGTCGACTCGAATTTTCCTCTCGCCCCATCCACCGTTGAGCACCCTGCTCTTGGGACCGACATCGGTTTCGACCATGTTGCTGGCCCTGTAGTACCACGCTTGTCCAGTCGCTCGGCTTCTCGCAGCACGTTGCAGTTCGACTATACAGTGCCGGCGATTCCCCCTTTTTCTTCTCGTAGCGATCGTGTACAAGCAGCGGCTCGCGCTCAACGGCTTCGTGACCGTCGTGCATCTGCTTCAGTGACATCACCGCTTGCAGATTCCGCCGCATTACCAACCACTGTTCCAGTAGTTTCGACTACACGGGCGATTTCGATTGCCTCTGGTACACTCCCCACAGTAGCCTCGTCTACCCCAGCTCTTTCGGTTGATTCTACTGCATCTGATCCCGTGGTTTCGCCCACACAGGCCATTTCGTTTGCCTCCGATGCTTTAGCTTCAGTAGTTTCGACTACACGTGCAGTTTCGACTGCTAATGTGCCTGTCCCTGCGGTCTCGACTGCTGTAGGTGTGTTTGCCCCCATCCCTTTAGCTCCGCCGCTACCCACAGTTTCGACTGTTCGCGGTGCTGCTGCCTTAGCCGCCCCACCTTTGCGTACCGTTTCGACGCTGCGTACTGCTGTGACGTCTGCCCCCCCACATGCCTATCATGTTCCCACTACTGGTGCACCTGTCTCTGCGGTTTCGACTGCTGCACGTGTACTTTTGCCCATTCCATTAGCTTCGCCCCTGCTCACAGTTTCGACTGCTGGCGATGCTAATATTCCTGCAGCTCCGCCTATTCGCACCGTTTCGACCCTGCGTACAGTGTCGTCTGCCCCTTTCCCCGCCCACACTACTTCCACACAGAACCCTGTGTCAGCGGCTTCGGCTGCTGTAAACACCGCTGTTTCTATGCCAGTAGATACGCCTCTGCTCGCATTTTCCACAGATTCACGTGTTCACACGGCGGGTTTCGATCCTACCGTTTCGACCGACTCTGCCATGCTAGCTCCTGCTTCGGCGCCCCTAGCTGCGACCTCGGTTGTTTCAGCAGTACCCTCTGCCCCTACCCTTTCCCCTTACCCTTACGCCGTGCCCCCAC